CTCAATGAAGCTTTAATGAACCATCTGTACACTTTTACATAAAAATGCAAGTAAATTTGTGCATACCCACCAGGGCCCCACCATCCCTTACTCATGATTTTGAGGCAACGTCTGTTTCCTTGTTGTTGACTTCATGCATAATCTTGGCTCTCGAGACCATTCATAGAAACTAAAGTAGCATTTATCCAACTTCCCTTTAATCCAATGGAATGATCTCAGCTGCACTAGTTCAAATAATTTTTCACCATCCATTTGGCCATTCTTAAAGACTTTTTCATTCCGTGCTAGCCAAATTGACCAGATGCATGCAATCCAAACAGTCCTCTATCCAGTGCTTGTTCTGCTGGTTGTATCCAAATTGCACAATGTCTATAGCTAGTACTGCACTGAGAAGTAAATATCAACTTATTCCATCTAATTTGGCTATGTGACATGTTAAACCCTGCTTTTTGCAAACTTCATACTCAGGATTGGATCCTGTAGCCAATGGACTTATTCATTAATGATGTGTTCTTTGTAAGCTGAGAAAGAATTTATGGGTCTCCACATATATATTCTATGCTTACCCTTGTTTCTCTTAGATATGAAATTTTTGCGGTTCTCTTAACTCTACTGCAAATATCAACCTTTTACTTGAACACTAACTCTGAATTTGATGAACTTTGCCACCATTTGTAGCATGTACTTCTCACCTCTTTGGAGTTCTGAATCATCAAATATACGGTCATGGTGAAGGGGACGACATATTGTAACAGAAATTGGTTTGGGTACTCTACCCACAGGTTTAATCGATTTAACCCAAGCAAAGAAAACTAGTCAATCGATATCATACCCACCAACTTGGGTTTTACTGAAAGAAAAGGTAAGAGAAAGACTTGATTGTAATTCTTGGAATGGGATCAAAAGGAAATTCAATTTGCAGGGAGAAAAACTGAAAAATGAAATTAAGAACTATATATATATGAACCATACAGTCTTGATGAAATTGTTCAGCCAAAGAAAAATGAAAAAACAGTTCTAAGATTTTGATAATGAAAATTGTATTGTAAATCTCACATTATACACTTGACATCAAAAGAGTGAATATGCAAAGATTCATACATACGCTTGAATTAAAAGAGTCAAGAAAAATATTTATTAAAATTTTTCTTTGGCCGTTCAAAAAAATAAAGTCAAGAAAAATTTGATAATTAAAGCTCCTTCTAGAAGCAGCAACAACATTCATCAATGTCATTAAAGAAAAAAAGGGAAAAACATGCATCAATGTCAGTCCCAAAGCCATCGTTTCCACAAAGCAAATTAAACATACATGATCATTTCCATTATTTTTAAATATATGTCAAAACACATTTATTTTCTTTGTTATAACCAACCAACTACCTCGGCCAAAATAAAAAATAAAAAATAAAAAATAAAAAATAAAAAACGAAAACCAACCTCCCAAAACACACATGAGCAGTTCCTTTATTTTTTTAGACAGCTAAATAAAACACGTACTGCGGTATCATCTAGGGAAGTTCACAGGTCATTTTATTGCTGGATTTGTGTTGAATTCCTTATAAGTCTGCAGACCAGTCAAAAGAAGACCCGCCAAGACACCAATGAAGACCAAGAAGCTCCAGGGAGACTTGAAATAGGTATGATAGAGTTGAGCCAAGTCGCTCGCCCATAAACTGTTGCAGTGTACTTGGATACGCTCTTGCAGATCTGAGTACTTCAGCTCAGGATTTGGCACCAGGTTGTCGCTCATCCTGTTGAACATCTCTGCTACTGCTTCATCGCTTCCCAGTCCGTTGTGCAGCACACCGGCAACTCTCAGTTCCTTCACATCCTCTGCTTTATCTATCAATGAGTCTAGGAATACCACATAAGTGGTGATCTCGTAGTCGTTTACGAAATCCGGACACATCTCGTAAGCTATCAAGTTCAGCAACTTAGGAATCGTGGAGTCGTCCACCACAATGGGAGGCAGCTTAAGGGTTGCCATGCAATAACGGTCGCTAAATTCAATGTCCGTAACTCTGCCCTTCTTGCTCCTTCTAAAGAAAATCCCCTTCTCTTTCATCTCTGTTACGCTGCGAAATGTTTGCTTGTTCTTCCTGCTGCAACACTTCTTCACGATCCCCCAAAATCCACCTGATTTTTTAACCCGTTGCTGTTTCTCACCCTGCTTTCTTAATTTGTCTCCGATCAGCTCTCTGCGCAACAGTTCCAAAAGATGAGCAGGCTCTTCTTCCTCCTGCTGCTGATCATGTTGACGAGTCTGAGACTTGGGCATACGATCATCAGAAATTGATATCGATATGTGTTGTGGATCCAGGCTCATGGCATTCATATGGACGAAACATTTGAGGGAATCCATCAACACCTGTTCAGGAGCTTTTCCATTATCTGTGTGCGAAGAATCACCTCCCTCGTCTTTACCATCCAATTCCCTGTGAGGGACCCAAGTGCACAAGCTCATCAGCAGCTGAAGGAGTTGGAATGGCAGTTGGTTCTCAAGCAAGAACATATCTAGCTTTGCAAATGCAACTAGATCAATATTCTTACATCCCACTTTCTCCCAATAGTGGTTCACATCAAGGTGCGCCAAATACAACACCGCACAGCCATCCACAAGGAACATCCAAGCCAAGTCATCATCATCCCAATTCTCCTTCCACTTATCGAGTTCTTTCTGCTCATAGCACTTCTTCAAGCTACTTAAGTGCTCCTTGACATTGTTGTAGAAGTCTTCGTTCGTTCTGCCACTGCCTTTGATGAACTTCGCTGCCAATTGTAGCTTGGAGCTCTCAGCTCTGTAGAGTCTCGAATCATCATCCCTCGGATGGTGGAGGGGACCGAACGCAACAAAAATTGGTTGGAAATATTGATCAAAATCATTTTTGACATGCAGTATTTGTGTAGCCCTCTGTATCAATGGTTTGGTTGGCGTCAAATATGGGTCGCTGGCGGCTTTCTCCAAGGACTTCAATCTGCCATGCTCCTTTGGGATGAGTCTTTCATGAGCGACGTCCATGTCAGAGGCAGTTGAGCAACTCTGCTTAACCTCAGCCGGCGCCTAACGATCGAACAAATGTATATTATATGAAAGATTTTGCAGCCTATAGCTATATGGTGTTTTGGGTGAGTATTTGAAAGCAAGACCTTAATTATGCTTCTATAATAACATTGGAATATCACTTTACTATTACTTTGCAATGATAGCAAGTTTGGTATTGGAATTTTAGTGTCTTTCCTCAAAAAAGGTAAAAGATGCGCCATGTGGAAAGAATGCGCGGACGGACGGACGGTAAATGATAAATGATAAATTTTCTGTTTTACAGTTTGTTATAATTGATAATTTTTTATTTGTAAATTTTAAGTTAATGAGCTGTTTTGTCAGAGAATTATGTGAGAAGTTGAAAATATTTAATATAGAAAAACCAATGGACATTTTACTTTACTGATGAAGTTCAAAGTTTGCTTCGTAGTTTTGAAAAGATTTGCTTCATTCTTAGTTGGTAACTGAGATTACATTAATTTCCCTTTTGTAAAGACATATGATTAGTGAAATGTAACCAAGTGTACTTAAGACAAAAGGTGCATTATGAGATAAACCTGAGCTCTTTTATTTTTAAAAATTTTTAATTTGTTTTTATGGTTAATTTAAGGTTAGTGATGTACAACGTTGCCTCTTCATACTTATGAAAAGATTAACATTCTGATTTATCAGAGAATTATTTTCTCATTGTCAAAATTTTCTTATATTTAAAGGTATAGTAAATAGGACTACAAAATAAGAATTATTAGATAGAAAACAACTCTAATTAATGTTTTAAAATTCAACTTGGTAACTGACTCATTTTCAGCACCAGTTATTGTTCAATTGGCTGGTTTGACCAGTCAACTAAAGAGTTAACTTTTTTAACTTTTTTTGTGTATATTTACTGTTGTATACTGATGTCACTATATTTTCAAGGTATAATCATCTTAAGAACAACTTAAAAAGTTGAATTTAATTAAATACATACCGTTTAAAAAGAGAAAATGTATAAAAAAAGGTAAAGAACTAAAAAAAATTAAAAAAGAGATTTTGAAACTGATCGGGTCAGAGGGCTTGACACTGGCTTTGCTGTGTTTTTCTGAATTTTTCTTTAATACTGGTTAGACTATATATCCGATTTTTGCAACTGAGTTTGGTTCAACCGGCCATATTGGGCCGGGATCATGCAACAAACTGCTCTTGCATGATACAAAACCATTTGGAGAAATAAATTTGCCATTGTTTGATGGCCGGCGGACGTGTTCTTTGTGAATATTTTAATTGTTTAACCTTAGAAGAATCAAATTCAGTAGCGCAAATTTTAGGCAGTGAAAATTGTACATGTGGGTTCAATACAAGGTATGTTATCAAAATCCTCAATTGGCTTCGCATTAGGTAAATCTAGATGCGGGCATACTACTTTCTTTTTTGCCTATGGAGTTATCAAGTAGATCGTTGCGTATAGCAGCTCAACACAAAGTTTGTATCCAACCTAATACCAAGTGGTTGTAGCTTAATTTTACCACTCAATATGCCCCTCTTGTTAGGCTGGCTATAAATGTCAATTCCTAACACTTGACTTTTTTTTTTTTTTTTGGTAAGCCAAAAAATTTTATTTCTATGGGTACAAGGGGTACCCAAACCCATTTACGATCTTAAAAAAAGAAAAAACAACTCCCAATTACATCTTTAACAATTAAGTCACACTTGCAGCAACACTAATACTATTTCAAAGTAGCTCTCGGGTCAGCCTTCCATGTCTCAATTGGCAAGTTAGGAACTAAATTTGCACAAACTCAATAAAAAGATCTATATTTTACCATTTCCACAAGCTCCTCTTCCTTGCCTTGTCCATTGTTAAAAGTTAGTTGATTCCTTCAAAGCCATATGGACCATATCACTGCATACCAAATCACCATCCACGCCTCTCTGAATTTTATATTGCTTATTAACCTAGCATGTTGTTTGAAATGTTAATTGATGTTTTGCACAGAAACAGAAGAAATTCCCCACCAATAGTAACATGAAGCCCACACCTTCCAAGATTGCATACAATCAAAAAACAAGTGCCTAAGAGTTTCCTCATTTTCAAGGCATCTACTGCAAATGGTCTCTCTCCTATCCTTGATAACATCCCTCCTAGCTAAATTGCTTTTTGTTGGCAGTCTATCATGAAGTGCTCTCCACACCAATGTAGCAACCTTCAAGGAAACCAAACAATTCCACACTAGATTAAAAATTCCTTTCAACTACATCTGCTGAGGGGCACTAGATGATGATAAGCTGATCTAACAGTGTAATGCCCACTACTATCCCATTTCCATGCCCAGTAGTCTAATTCTCCTTGTTTAATGTTGACCTTCCTCAATGTATCTTCTAATTCCTGCACCATGTTAGACTCCCAAACAAATAAATCCCTACACCAATCCCACTTCCACACCCACACTCCTTCACACCATTCTCGTAGCTCTCTCACTTTCCCATTTTTATTTGTGGAAATAGAATATAATCTAGGAAATTTCTCTTTAAGGCTCACTTCCCCTACCCATGTGTTGGTGGAGTTGTGGTGTTCAATCTACAAAAGTAGCAGCAAATGAGCCGCACAAATGGCAGCAAATCTTTTAAATGTAATCTTGCATTAAATATTTGTCTAATTTTATTGTGTTAAGTAATTATTATGTGAGAAAGTTATTTTTATGTATTATGAGGTTTCTACTATATAATGGCAGAAGATGAATGAAAAATAATGGGGTCGACCTCACCAAATGAGGTAACTCCATGGTGACTCTTTCCTTCTCCTCCAAGTTCTCTATATGAAACCCCCTTCTCACCACTGAAACCCTAACATGGTATCAGAGCTTCAGTGATCTTGAGGGACCTCTGAGAGTGATTTTGAGGGAACACCAGAAAAAACCCTACCTTTCTCATTGTTTTCAGAGTATTCTTCACATGAAACCCTTTTTGCTTGGCTAAAATCTTGCAACAAAAAAGGCTGTGAAGATGGAGGCATATGTTAGTCCCACCATGGGAGATATTAAGGAGAGGAAAGTTGGATTCAAAGAGAAGGTGTCCATGGATTCTATAGCCAATAGTCCAAAGGGAAAAAATCTGTCAAGGGTGTAGCTTGAGAAAGGAAGAAAACTCAGAGCATGCATCAAATCCTATTCACCAAAAGTTGAATATGATCTATGACCCTAAGAAAGCTATAGATTCAAAGAAAAAAACTGAGCAACCTTTGGGAAAGCTCAGCAAAGCTCCAAAATTTTGTTAAAGCAGCAAATTTAAGCAAGATGAAGCTGTAGTATTGAAGGAGGAGCTGATCTGCTAAAGGAGATGCTTTAGCAGCAACAACAAATCAAAACCAAAGCATAAAGAACTACAAATGGCAGATTCCAAATGCTTAGGTAAATTTCTTGTTTCTCGCAACTTTAACACCAAGGAGGAGTGTTGGAGTTGTGGTGTTCAAGCTACACAAGTAACAGCAAATGAAAAGAAAGCTGCACAAAATGGCAGCAAATGAAGAAGGGAGAGCTGTACCAACAGCATGGTAGTTGCAAAGTGCAACAAGCTAGGCTGCAAATGTTGATGAAATGAGACTGTAATGAAATGCAAATGAAAGGTTGCAAAGTAGCAGCAAGTACAGCCACATGGAGTTGCACAAATGGCAACAAATCTTTTAAATGTAATCTTGCATTAAATATTTGGTAGATTTTATTGTGTTAAGTAATTATTATGTGAGAAAATTATTTTTATGTATTATGAGGTTTCTACTATATAATGGTAGAAGATGAATGAAAAATAATGGGTTCGACCTCACCAAATGAGGTAACTCCACGGTGACTCTCTCCTTCTCCTCCAAGTTCTCTCTCTAAAACCCCCTTCTCACCACCAAAATCGCAACACTTCCCAAAATAAAGCGTTGTTGCCCTCACCTACCAACTTCAAAAAACCCTTTCTTACTCATCCATTATTCCTCTCTAGCTTCCACAGCTCTTTCCACCAAATTGAACCTCTCTCATTTTGCAAACACCCTCCCCATCCCCTATCTTCATCTACCCTGTATAATTCGAACAATACTCTCCTCTTGACACATGACTTAATATGCCCCCTTACATATAAGCCCAATATCAATTTCGGGGACAGAACTTGAGTTTTGATATTATGTGATGAGGAACAAGAAGAAGCTATTCAATAGTCATTTAGATTATTTAGAATTCTTAAGTAATTATTTTTCTTCAGGTGTAATTATCATTAGTTTTCCTACTTTTATCAGGATTAGGTCCTTTATCAAGAGTCTTAAGTCCTAGTTAAATTAGAAAATTTAAATTTCAAGTTATAGACTAATTAGAATAGGAGTTCTAGTAGGAGTGTTAGTAGTTTCTATATAAATATGCATGTAGTTTCTTTCATTATTAAGTTAATAATATTCAGAATATTTCAACAAGTTTTGCTCTTGATTGTGTGATGCAATCTTGGTTGTGTGATGCAACTAACCTTAGGTGTGATACTTAAGGGTTTTCATCCTCTTTAGGTGTGATGCCTAACAAAACCTAAGTGTGACTCCTAGTTGTTTTCTATCCTTCTCATTGTTTGTTTTCTATTTCTTTCTCTTTTCTATCCTAAACAAACCCTATTTTACTGTTCATGCATACTATTCACAATATATATTTGCCTAAACAGCCTCTAAATCCCCAAGCCCACCATACCCTCTAACCTGTCTTGCATCACCATGTAAAAATTGTGCATGTGGATTCAATATAAGATTTAATTACATTCAACCTAAAACCAATAGACGATAAATGGAGTAACCCTTTTATATTTAGCCCACATAGTTTTTCATTATATATTCGATGTGGGATTTTTCACTCAACACTATCTAAATATTTAAAATTAATTAGTGTTGGAATTAATACCTTAGCAAGCTAGCAAGCTTAGTATAGATCTTTTTGTGGAAAATTAAGGAAAAGAGCCAGCATCCTATCTAGGTAATACTCGACCCCCTTGATTGGGACATCGAAAATTAAATTATTGAGCTTATGCTTCTACTTTTCCCCTTTTTTTTACCAACAAAAATGTGTTGTTTACAATTATAATGGAAACAAATCAATAAAGCTGTTGGGATACAACCAACCAAAAAGAACATAAACAGGAAAAGAAAGGTAACCTAACAAGGAAAAACAAAACCAACATCCGGGAACCACCATTTGTGGAAAAAGGAATAAGGGTATGGTTTCAAGAAGATGCTGTCTCCGAAAAACTGTGGAAAAGCCATCCCTTATCAGCTTATGCTTCTATATATTAAAATTGGAATATTAATGTTTACTGCACTTTTAAAATGCAAAGATAACAAGTCTGTTATTCTTCGTGCCACTCAGCATCTCCAAGCTTACGAGTGAACACAATAAAAAGTTTAAAATATTTTCAAAAAATAGTTAATATGAGAATTATGGAGAAATTTAACTTGAAATATCAATAAATTATTGGACATTTTAGCTTCAGTGATGTACAACGTTAGCGGTTAGCTTCATACTTTTGCAAACATTAAAAAAAAAAAAAATCATACTTTAGAAATGATTAACATTCTCAATTGGGATTGAAAATACTTTTCCCCTTTATAAGAATGAGTAAAATGCATTGGATAAGGGTGTACATAGGAGAAAGGAACATTCTCGGATAAGCGTGAACTTTATATGCCAAACCCTCAAATTCACCCGCAAATCCACTCACAAATAGGAGAGTAAAAATAGATCTATCCCTAAAAAAACAAAAAAAAAAAATGATAAATTGTCCCTTTAGATTGTCAACTGAGACAAATCACCTAAATATTTAACATGTGATATTATTACACGTCAACCTTTTGTTTAAAATAATTTTAAGTGGCAAATGAATTCCTAACATGTGATGACATCACACGTTAGATAATAAGTGATTTATTTTAATTAATAATTTGAAGGAATAATTTATCTTTATTTTTTTGAGAGAAATTTGTCCTTACCCCTCTATTTGGGGGTAGATTTGGGGTTCAACCAACTTTATATATTTATGTAGAGGTAGGAATAATCCACATATGTATAAATCTTACATACCATATTTATATAAAATTTTGATCATTTATTTTTTTATTTTCAATGGTTGAAGTCAAAAACTTCATGTGGAAGTTAACACATATGTATTGACACCTACATTGGGGTGTCGATACTTATGCTTCATTGTCCAAATTAGCTCCAAGGCAACAGCCACCTATATTTTTTCGTCGGCAATTTAGTGGGTCCTACAGTGGAATCTATCTACCAACTCAGTGTTGATATCCAACTCAGTTGGAATCTATCTACCAACTCAGTGTTGATATCCAACTCAGTTGGAATCCATCTACCAACTCCCACAGCCTCTCCTCTCTAATTGTATAGATAGTTTCTAGATAAATAAAATTTTAATATTTTATCAAAAAAGAAAGAAAACCTAGTCAACTGAAGAATGGAAAGCAAAGGGTAGAAGAGTGGCACAAGTGTGGTGCAGCTTTAAAGGTGAGTTCTGTAGAACGAGAGTTCAAAGGTTTGTCTGAGTGCAGTGATTAATATATATTTTAATTTTGAATATAGATATTTTGAAATATTAATTTTGATAAGCACAGCAAATAACATAAATAGAAACCCAGAAAGTAAAAGAAAACCCAATATAAGGGCAGTGTGCTGGTATTGAAAGAAAAGATAAAAGAGAGACTTGATTTTAGTTCTTGGAATAGGATCATCATCAAGGGAAAATTTGTTTGGAGAAACCAAAAACTGTTCTAAACCTAAGAGCACTAAAATATAAGCGCTGTTAGAAAGAAGAAAAAGGAAGTTTGACATCCATCTTAAAGATAAAATGGACTATTATTTTGAGGTAGGAGATATAGAAAGAGATATATAATAAAAAGTTTAGTTCTCAGAATTTAAAATTAGACGTGTGTCATTTCTACAAAGAAAAAGGAAAAACATAGCTGATCATTTCTATTTATTATTTTTCAATATGCCAAAACGCATTTATTTTCTTGGTTGATAACACACACATGAGCATTTCCAATTATTTTTTTAGCTAGGTAAAAGAAAATTCGCTTCCTAGTGGGTTGTGCAGCACGCCTGCATCCCTCAGTTCCTTTACATCCTCCCCACTATCGATCAAAGAGTCAAGAAATGACACGTACGTGGTGATCTCCTACTCGTTTTTGAAATCCAGACACATCTCGTATGCTATCAAGTTCAGCAACTTTGGCATGGTGGTATCGTCCACCAAAATATGGGAGCCAGCGTAAGGGTGGGCTTCCAAAACTAACATTCGTTGAAAGCAATGTCTGTGACGACACCTATATTTTTCCTCGCGTTAAAATGAATACCCTAGTCTTGCAGCTCCTTTACGCGGCGAAATGTGTGCCAGTGTCTATCAACAGGAGAGCACTTCAAATTCATCAGTCTCCGACGCAAACCATCCTTTTCATTACGCTGTTGCGAAGGTGATTTCTTATCCTGTTTTTGATTCTCACCCTTCTCTTTTGATTTGTCTCCTATCAGTCTTCTTCGCAACAGTGCCAGAAGATGAGCAGGCTCTCCTTCTTCAGAATCAACCTCAATTTCAATTTGTTGCTGTTCGGCAGGAGGATGACCAGACGGTTGTTTTTCTTGTGGCTGCTCTTGAGGATGATGAATCAGAGAATAATCCTGAGCATGGTGTTGTTGCTGCTTGACTGGATTCAGGAAACTCTTGTTGAGGAATTCGGTGATGGAATCCTTCAATTCCATCCTACGATTTGCTCCTCCTTCTTCACTTGGGTTGCACAAGCCTATCAACATCTCAAGGAGTTGGTAGGGCAGTTGTTTCTCAAGTAAGAATATATCAAGTTTCGCAAAGGCGACACGATCATTCTTACGACCCAAGTCCTTCCACTTATCCTTCACATCAAGGAAAATGAATTGCAACAATGCACAGCCATCTAAAAGGAACATCCAGGCCAACTCCTCATCATTCCATTTCTCTATTTCACTGAGGTCATAGCACTTCCTCAAGCTATCTATCTCCTTCTTGACATTGTTGTTGAATTCTTCCATCGTCCTCCCACCATATTTGATGTACATTCCCGCCATTTGTAGCATGAAATCCTCCCCTATTTTGAATATTGAGCCTTGTTTAGTATTTTTTTCATGGTGAAGGGGACCAATCGCAACAGAAATTAGTTCGAAATATCGGTTGCATTCCTCCTCATTGTTTCGCGCGCTCAGTGTATGCGTAACCCTGTATTAATGGCTTGGTTGGTGTCGCATTAGATGGACCGGTAGCAGCTTCCTTCAAGCACTTTTGTAACTTCGATTTCTCATTCTTCTCTATGGTGAGATCATCATGGCCGGCCATGTTGTGCAAGTGACAAGTCTGCACGTTTTACCACTACTCCAGATTTGCTAAACAAATTTATATTACTTGAAAGATTTTTCGGTAACCTCATGCTTCTTTATTAAAATTGGAATATTAAATTTACTACTTTACAATGATAACAAGAGTTTGGAACTTTAGCATAATTGCTTTTCAACCTCAAAAAGGAAAAGAAGCAGGCACCTAGTACATGCTTTATAGATCACGGAGGTTATCATGTGCGTGTCCTGTCGTCAGTTTACATGAAAAATATTTCGTTGGTAGTTTTAAATTCGAATTTAAGATGGCCAGGGATCGAGGAGTTTAAAGTAGTTATATCTAATTATATAGCAAATCATGTGACATAATAAAAAAAAATATCGAAAATGTTGTTAATTAATTATCTGAGATATTAATTGGTGTCTAAAATTTTGTATATTTAAAGTTAATTAGCTGTTGTTTTCGAAAGAGTTATGTGAAATATTTATTTAATATAGAAAATTAAACCAATGGACATCTTAATTAAACTTAGTGAAGTACATCCAACGACCTATATAATTAATTATCTGTCACACTCTTTTAGGATGAGTATTTCATGAGGGACGTCCATGTTAGAGGCAGTACTTGAGGAAGTCTGCTTAACCTCGGCCTAGCGATCGAACAAATATATATGTTATATGAAAGATTTTGCAGCCTATATAGCTATGTGGTGTTTTGGGTAAGTATTTAAAAGCAAAACCTTAATTATGCTTCTATATTGAAATTGGAATATTCGTTTACCATTGCTTTGCAATGATAGCAAGTTTGGTAATGGAATTTTAGTGCCTTTCCTCAAAAAAGGAAAAGAAGCACATATGGAAAGCACGCGTCTTTTACACGCCGAAGAGATGTAAATGCGAGCCTTTCATTACATGAAAAATATTTTTATTGAAGGTGTCAAATTCAAATATTTTTAGTTTGAACAAAGGAAGTCATCCCCATTATATGACCTATATAACAAAAAATTATAAAAATATTCAAAAATATATTTCTTTTTCTGATGGATAAAAATATGTTGTCAATTAATTAGTTAACATATTTTTGTCAAAACATTTTTATATTTGAAAGTTTTTAATGGAATTTGTATATGAGTTGCTGTCCAATAATTTTTTGTTTGTAAATTTAAAGTTAATTAATTAGCTGTTTTTGTGATCAAATAATTATGTGAAAAGTTAAAAATGGGTTATATAGAAAAATCAATGGACATTTTAACTTTATTGATGGAGTGCAAAGTTTGCTTCAGACTTTGGAAAAGAATTTGCTTCATTCTTAGTTGGTAACTTGGATTACATTTTCCTTTTGTAAAGGCATATATGATCAGTGAAATGTAACCAAGTGTGCTTAAGACAAAAGGTGGATCGTGAGATAAATCTCAACTCTTATTTAAAAAAATATATATTATTTTTTTAGGATATATACTAATACACACTATTTGATTCAAAAAACTCAATAAAATATTATTACCTTTTAGTCTAGAATTAAAGGTAAAAAAACTTAAAAATACAGTTATTCATACAATATGAGAGAATTAATTGAACTGATTTCATTTATATTATCATGTTTAAATAATTGAATGGACTAAATATCAGTATGTATGTCAAACTAAAGAATGTCCAAATCGTATTCTACATTTTTATGATTAAGTTAAGGTTAGTGCTGTACAACATTAGCTTCATATTCTAGAAAGATTAATGTTCTGATCAATCAGAGAATTGAGAATACATTTTCCTTTACAAGACAAACTAATATTTTCAAGAGAATCAAATTCAATATCTTACTTCTATTAAAAAAAAAAAAAAGTGTGGTAGGAAAATGTTATAGGATTGGATTGCACAACCACTTGTTTGTTTGCGCGGTTATTGATGGTTATCTTGTGGCTCAAAAGGCATTTTAAAATCTTAAGTTTGAATTACAAAGAATGAAAATTAACGATGTGGATGTTATGGCTAGATTTGATATGAAGGTTGTATTAATATATTAAAATATGATTTAGGAGAGAGTACTCCTTGTATTTTTATTAATATAAATCTTTTTTGGACTGATAAAAAAATAAAAATAAAAAACGATAACCATTGGAATACTTAAATTAAAAGAAGGAATCCCAAAAGAATGGAGAGAGAGAGAGCTAGGGTTCGAGACAGGTTTCCAACATATAGGGACAGTGGCAGTGGTTTCCGACGGCGGCTCCCAGGATATGGTAAGCACTTCATTGGGCAGGCAACGACATACTCTTTCTATGATTTTTTGGCGAATCATTTTGCTAAGGATTTTTGGTATAGTTTTTGGTCTTTCGGGAAAGTAGCAGATGTTTATATTCTAGAAAGGAGAGATCGGAGAGGGCATCATTTTGGATTTGTTCAGATGTCTGAGGTTTCAAATACCAAGGATATGGAAAGAAAGTTGAATCAAATTTGGCTGGATTCGTATCGCTTAAAGGTGAAATTGGTAGAAAACATGAAATCCGGGAGGGAAGGGATGTCCAGAGGACGACAGCAAAAGCAGACAACAGCACAGTGGATCAGACGAGATAGAAAGGTGTCTCCCGGGATAGCATATGCACAGATTGTTGCTGGAAAAATTAAGGCATCGGATGAAGGGGAGTCGATGAACCACATATTGGAGCAAGTAGCAGTGCAAAAAGTACCGGAGAAGAAAGTGGATGGGTTAGAAAAAAAGGGTGCAATGTCGAAAGAGTCGGCAGTGTTACCAGTGTCAATACCTGATCAGGCTTCAACATCAACAGCGAATGATGCCATTGCAAAGACTTATGTGCCGAAGGAGTCACATCCTAAGTTGGTTCTACAGTTTTCTCCCAGGGAGGATGAAGTTGCATGGTTGAGTCAAAGTAGAGTGGCACTGGTTCGATCATTGGATTTGGTGATGAAAATACAAAATAGGCTGGATGTGGATGGTTTATTGGTGAATGTTGCTCTGTTAGCGAGTAGACATGTTTTGTTAATGGATAATACGGAGGGCTGCTTAAAGGAGTTTATTGATAAAAACGAGGAGTTGGTGGAGTCTTGGTTTGAATGGATACAGCCAACTTCGTTATCTATTATGCCATCAAGAAATAGGCTGGTGTGGCTTCGTTTTAATGGTGTTCCATTGCGGGCATGGAGTGAGAGATGTTTCTTGGAATTAGCAGGTTTAATTGGTGAAGTAATACTTGTTGATGATGATACAAAATCTAAATCATTTTTGTGTGAAGGTCGGGTCTTGGTATTGTGTGATGACACCATGAAAATTTCGCAAATAATCACTCTAATGGTGGATGGGGAGTCTTTTCTGATCAAGGTATCAGAGGAGGAGTGGCGTATGGATCCGGACTGGTGGTTGGCCGGTGAACGGAGGAGCTCCGGTATGAGTTTGGACGTGTCTAACATGGAGTCCGATAATTCCAATGACCGTTACAATGAAGGTGATGATAGAGCAATTATGGCCGAAGATTGTGCAGAAACGAAAGCAGAATCAAAGTTGAGTTTAAAACAGAATTTTGTTCAAAATTTTGAATTAAGTGGGCTAGAGATGGATAGGTTGGGTAATGTGGGCTTGGTTGGGCCAAGGGATTGTGAGGCTGAGGAGTTGGGTGTAGAAAATGGGTCTCGTGAGGGGCTTAGGCCTGCTGGAGAACATCAGAAATGAGGTGCTGTGTTGGTTAAAAAATGTAAGAAATTGGGGGACATTTATGCTCGGGATGGGGTAGCGGAGGAAACGAGGGAGATGGGGATGCAGTAGGTGACGGCAAGAACCAGATGTAGGAAAGAAAGAAGGGAAACAGCAAGACAATTGGAGCAAGGGAAGGAATCACAGAAAACTGATCTTTCTTTGTTCGATGGTTGTATTCAAAATCGCAATAATCTGATCCAGCAGCAACTGGAGTTGGATGAGGTACGAAAGCTGTTTGGGTTGGGGAAAAGATTGGGGATTCAATGTCAGAATAATGAGGAAGAGGTGATTTCAAGATTGGCGACTTTAGAAGGAAGAGATGAAGCCAATTTTAGAAGGCCTTGAAGCTCGGGTGTGGAGTTTTGTTGAAAACAATGAGTTGAGTTTTTATCATTATGAAGTTTATTTCTGTTAATGTTAGGGGTTTGGGTAATGGGTTGAAAAGGAGGGAGATTCTTAAGTTAGTTAAGAAGGAGAATCCAGATTTTTTGTTTCTTCAAGAAACTAAATTGGAAGAGGTTGAGGAGTCTTTGTGTCGGGCATTGTGGAACTTAGATAATTTTGATTGGGTTATGCAAAAATCAATGGGTAACTCAGGTGGCTTGTTGTGCATATGGAATAAAAGCTGTTTTATTAAACAATGTGTGATAGAAAGGAGCGGCTTCATTGGGGTTTCTGGTGAATGGGGTAAGGAGAGGAAAAAATGTAATGTAATCAATGTGTACGCTCCTTGTGATAGGCAGAGGAAGGTTTTGTTGCGGGAGGAGATTGTTGGACGAGTTTTAGAAGAGGGTGGGTGTTGGCTGTTAGCAAGTGATTTTAATGCTGTCCGGAATGTATCAGAACGAAAGGGTAAAATGAGGGAGACGCAAGATATGCAAGATTTTAATCACTTTGTGGAAAGCACGAGGTTAATCGATGTTTGCTTGCGAAATAAAAAGTTTACATCGTATAGACCAGATGAATCTGCCATGAGTAGACTTGACAAATTTTTGATGTCTACATAAATGAGTTTATTGGCCATGGATTGGGTTCAAGAAGGTGTTACAAGGTCAGTTTCTGAT